TCACATTGGTGGTTTCCACCACCAGATGTCTTACGGGTCTCTCCCGTTCCACTAGGGTTACTAGCCTACTAGGCTCACTTGCCTAAGTCACACACTACTAAGCTCACTAGCCTAGCTCACAGTCACACTCAATCTTAGCCTTCAATATACTCAACTACGGCTAACACTGACGGCCGCTCTCAACCGCGTAACCTCCAAACCGCCTAATGGTTAAACCGTCCAACCGCCGTACACGCACGTGGGCGTTCACTAGTTCAAACCCTGACTTGGGCCGAACCCTAACACACAGTAATTCGGCTGACTATAATCACCGAATCTTAACAGGATCCTCAACCCCGTTCCATAGATCCTTGTCCAGAAGTAAGAAGAAACATAATTTTCGAACTCTACGTTCTATAGTTCTCCACATTCAACTTATCGATATGGACATTGTACCCGTCGGCCATTTTAGAGATTGCGTTCCCTTTCTCTCTTTCTCAGGACCAAAGGTGGATGATTTCCTTTTAGGCTTTTCCTGCCACTTGATCTCCCTTACGGGCTTTCAAATGTCGCTTTGCTCGAAGAGCATCCACGATAAAGCAGACCGCCCCCACTGATGTCTTCGTTGACAAGAGAGAACCATTGGCCGACCTTGGCGCACAGATCCAATTTTCACGCTTCTGGAGGCCTTAGTATTGAATGCTTGCACCTTCACTTCTCAGGCGCCGTGGTGCGCCGTCCGTGCGCCGTGGGCCCATAAGCTGTTGAAAAACGGCGTTCTTGGAAATGAATGATCGAATGATCAAGTTCACACAATACATATTGAGTGTTCGGAGTCTAGCGGCGCTAACGCTATGCAGTCTGTGTGCTATGCTAGACTCGCTCAAATAGGGTCACACTCCTAGTCTAGGTCTACACTAATAGCCTAGTAGGCTCAGTTGACCGCGGATAAGCAAGTCCGAAGATCTCGCGCAAATATGTATATGTACGGCTGTTACCGAACCTACTCATTACGGCGGTTATCTCAATAAGTCATTCGGGTGTAACGCTGTAACCCGCGCGCATTTAACCGCCAACCGCTAACTACCCGTTATCGTCGACGTCACCCAGGAGATCGCGCACACTAAATGCCCGAATCTGAACATCCTCCTTCAAGCGCGTGTGCCACGCACGCGGCGCTTGGCGCAATCCGTACACGGCGCGCCTGAGGGGCCAAACCACGTTGGGACCGCCTTGCTCGTACCCTTGCGGTTATTGCATGTAAATCTCCTTCTCGAGCTCCTTGTTGAGAAATGCTGTCTTTAACGTCCAATCGATGAAGCTCCGAGTCGCATCCCGCGACTAATTGCTAGGAGCGCCCGCAAGGTGGTGTGCTTGCACACGGGGGCATAGACCTCCTCGAAAATTATTTTTTGCTTTTGCAAGTGCCCCTTCACCACGAGTCGCGACTTGTAGGGCTCCACGTTCCCAAGCGCGTCCCGCTTTATCTTGTAAACCCGATTCATGGGAACCGATTTCACCCCTCAGATTTTTGACAAGCTTCCCACGTCCCTTTCTCCAACAAGGACCGCATTTCCTCGTCCATGGACTTCCGCCAAAGCTCGCTCTCTTCTCCCCCTACGGCTTCTTGATTCGTTTGCGGCACCCCCACCCCCCTTGGGATGCTCCCCCGTTTCTGCCGCTAGATTCGCTTGGTACCAGTCCCCGGCCGCACGCTAAAGGCGGGGTATCTTCTTGCCGTCTCCTCTTGAGCGCCATCCCCTTCAACGGAATCCTCTCTCCCAGTGTCGGCCTCCCCCGTAGGAGTAGCCCCCTGCACCCATCCGAGTCAGAGGGCTCAAACGACTCGAGCCGCGAGCAACCCCATCCTCCTTCCCCGGAGCGGAGCCAAGCTCAACGATCACGGAGAGCCCGCGCTCATCCACATTGTCGTCGCAAGAAATCAACACCGTTCCATCCCGCTCGCGAAGGATCCGGTACGATTTGAAGTTGGGCCCGTACCCCAAGAAAACCCCTCTCTCGCTCACCGGCTCATTTTCTTCCGGTTTCCCTTGGGCACGTGGATGTAGGCCCGCGCCCCAAACACCCGCAAGTATGTAAGGTTTAGCTTCTCTTGGCAGAACATTCCCCACGGGATCCTGCCGTGCACGCTCGATGAACCCGATTCCGGGGTTAGTTGGCCGACCATGGCTTTCGCCCACAACTCCGGCCCCAACCCGGCGTCCTCTAGCAAAGCCCGCGCTCTTTATGCGAGCGCCCTGTTCAAACGCTCCGCCGAACCGTTTTGTTCGAGGGAGTGCCCCGCCGCAGTACGGTGCACCGTCCCTTTCCTCCCGAGAAGGGCCGTCATTCTGGCTTGTTAACGTACTAACTCCTCGCGCCGGCCCGTTTCCACCTCTTTGACCTTCTTCCCGGATTGCAACTCCACACGCTCCCTCTGACCTCCGTGACGTCGCTCAAGATTCAAGTTCATTCAATTGATTGGTTGCATCACCGAAAGCTTGCTATAGTCGTCAAGGTAAGTGGCCAAGTACCTACTCCCCCCCTTTGATATCACTGCCATGGGCCCGCACACGTCCATGTGCACGTCCTCGACGGCTTCTTTGCTATCCTTCAAGTCCGACTCCTTGGGAAAGGGCTCATGGGTTCGCTTTGCAGTTGGCAAGGCTCGCACACCGAGGGTTTTTAATTTGGAATGCCTCCGCTTTGACTCCCACACCCCGAACCGATTACCCGTCTACCAGGCTTGACTATGCTTTCGTACCCGTCGTGCCCGAATCTCTGCTAGTGCCACAACATCGGAGGCTTCTCTCACGGGCAAGCAAGTGTCCTCCCACGTGGGCTTCGGTTGCAAACTACGACCATGCCGTCCGCCCAAAGCACAACCTCCCCATCCATGTAAACCTCGCATACCTTTTGCACGAAACACACAAGGGACAGCTATGGGGCGTTTTTGGGTTGACGGCGGACCGGAGTAGATTTAGAGTGGGACCAAGGTCGGACCGATTTGCGATCGGTGTACCAAGGTCGATTGTACGGTATCTTGAGTAGTTTCAAGGTCCTAACTAAAGCAAGACGGAGGACCGTCTATCGCCAAAACCGGTCGCACACCTCGGAGAAATCAAAAGGACCCGAGAATACTACCAAAAGCTAAGAATTTATATCCTCAATATTTGAGCGGGCGTAGCCTGTAGGTGCAACTTAATGCAAAGAGCCTCCCTTTTGGAAGGGAGGTTCAGAAGAGTGGGTTGGAAACAAGGTGCAACTTGTTGAAATTGCGGCCCCCCATTTCCCCCTTCTTCGGGCAATCCTTCTTAAAGTGGTCCAGGCCGCACCGCATAGGTAGCCCTTCTTTCCCGACTTGGGCTTCTCCGGTAGTGGTCCCGGACTCCGGCAGTCTTTTAATCAATGTTTCCCAAATTACCACAATTGTGGCAAGCTATGGAGGCCTTGCGGCCCAAGACACCTTGCCCGTGGAGGCAAAATTGCCACCCTTGACCGCGTACTAGCTAGTGATCGCCGTTGCCAAGCCAGCCCTGGCCCCGCTGTTTTGCTCCAAAAACAGACCATGCCTAAGTTGCTCAAACACTTGCAAAATGGGAAGGAGCTCTCCACCATGCCTAGCTCCTTCTTGGTCGTCGTCACACCATCACTGCCCTCAAAACCGGCTTGACAACCTGGCAAGCACGCTGTAGGATGGATCATCCAGATTTATGTAGGAGCTGGCGGCTAGCAAATCTTGGTAAAGTTTTTGTGCTTTTCCCACATATCGAGCAGCGGACTCACCGAGTTGCATCTTGAGGAAGGACATCTCATGCCGACGTTGCAACTTCCGAGCCGCACTCTTGTTCTTGTAGGTCCTTCCAACGCGTTTGATTCAAGCTACAAGATTTGGCATTCTCACCCAAGGGTGCAGGAGGTATATTGGGCTGCTCAAGACCAGAAGCATTTCCAATGTTCACCATTTCTTTAGGCCGCACAAAATGGCAAAGTTTCGATTTATTGTTTTGCGCAGTCCGTCGCCGCAGATTGCCACGAACGAACGCCGAAGTTCGACCAATTCAATAGAACGGTCTTTCCGGAAACGTGACAGATCTTACCATCATCTACTGTCAATCTTTCGGAAAATCTCCGGACAATCGACGGGAATCACCGTCGATTTGCCGAGACCCGACTACTACCTCATATAACTGGCCTGTGTTTTGGCCCTTGCAGCAAGCGACTTGCAGGCTGTAGTTCAACCAAAATGCAGTTTGCTTATCTTGTATCAGCTACAACACGGAAAGGGACAAAATCCTTGCAAGGGAAGAAAGCATTGAGCTGCATTGTGGTGCCACAGACTATCAGGTGCCATGGCTTCCACCATAGCAACTAGCTCAATGCCCGACTTTACATCTTTGTCCACGTCAAAGTCTGATCTGCAGTCCACTCACTGACGGTCCGCAATAATTAGATTATGGGCCCTTCTTCTCTAATTTGGACAGCCCAATCGACCGATTGATAGTATCGATGATCGGATTTCTACGATTCTGCTATGACGTTTGCGGAACCCTCGAGCAAATATAGATTCGGCTTCCACCTGCTAAATTGAGTGGAACTTTCTTTCCACAGGCGAGTCCAAGTCTTGTAGCCTACTCAAACCTAGCTTTTACCCTAGGGCTTTCAATCGACAATCGACGGTCCCAAATGAACGTTGCCTACAAAAGAAGGGCCATCTGAACGGCTACACCAGATTGCATATCACAAAGGAATTTATGCACAATGGACTCAATCGTACGGCTTACTTTTCGCGCATCCTACGGTGGATATTTAATCATGCAATGCTCACAATTGTACGGCCGCCTATTCATCAAACGTAGTACGACCCTATGGACGATATCTATGACAAAGCTAGTACTGGCCACAACTAAATGAGCTGGTGCCACGTACTAGATGGGCGCTCACTTTCACCTCAAGAGTTACCAATTTACAAACCGCTTTCATTTGGTCAAATGATAGGCCACGCAACAAAGAAGCGGCCCTTTCAAAGCGGATGCATGTGTAAACGATTGATTGTAAGATGTTCGATGGTCGCCCTTCAATATGCTGTAATTGGAGAAGACTCTGCCAACCATATCCGATCCGATTGCTAGCTTGCCCTTTTGCACATTATGGATAAACGGTGCACTTTATGGCTAAAAGGTGACGGAATGGACCATTTTAGTAATTTGTTGTTCACGGTTGGCATCTCAAAATCGTTTTAATCTCGACCCGTCGTCAAAGGTCCGGGCAGAGTATTATAATTGACATGTGCAAGCAGCTGCAAAGGCGAAGCTTGCCCAACGGCGCCACATGCGATATTGCCGGAAAGTGTGTTGGAGAAGGGGCGACGGTTGCTAATACCGCAGGTTGTCTCGATGCGTGCTTTGAAAGGTACTAAAGCATGTGAAAAGATGGAAAGGTGGAAAGGTGCTGGGGTTTCTCAACACAACGTAACGACCTCAGATAGGGCCGCCATTGGATTGATCACTAGTAAAGGTTGCAAATCAGGTTTAACGTACGTACATGAGATAGATGCTTGCCGAATGATGGACTTTGCAAGAGGGACGTTGCCCGGATGATGAGTTGTGGAAGTACAGCTTACTCGCTTTCGCAAAAGTCGCTGATCAACGAACATGTCAAGTGTTGCCCAGTTTGTATAATTGATCATAGTAGCTAGATTAGAAAGCAGAGCATCTGTGTCCGGTTGATTAGAATAGCTAGTCAAGAGGTGAAATAAAGTTATATTTGATTGATCCTTCTCATATATTCCTTTTAAAAGGTTGAACTAGAT